TTTTAACGAACGTAAACATTTTTTTTTTTCGGAAAATACGCTTTTAATTATTCGATAGTAATTCTTGAGGAATTCCTTTAATTATCTCCCGATACTAGGACAAATCCTACTGCATAGTTCCATATCATTGTATACTAAGTCAATGTTAGTTAAACATACATTGTTAAAACATATTTTGTAATAATTTTTACCAGCAACTGTTCTCGCACAATATATCGATACATAACGGGTAGCCTAGGTTTTAATCAGTACTATATATAATCTATTTTCATTTCACATTTGACTCAAATCAATCAAATCAAATAAGTAACAAATACCACGTGTATATTATATTATACGTATATTATAGTGATATTAAAAAAACTTAGTTCACAAAATATCGCTTTCTCAATATTAGTTCTTCATATTGCTGTACAAATTAAAAGCAAATAGTATAATAAAAACAAATATATATTAAATAGAACAATAAATAAATAGTTGTTTGAGATACGAAAACATATATGACTTTGATTCATATTACTGCTATAAATAATTCATGAAGCGAGTGGGGAACATTTGACACTCTTTAAATACGCTGCAAATATCATTAATTGCATCTCTTTCTTACATTCAATAACCTCTATCCCCGTTTCTTTCTAAATACTGTAATCCGGATTTGTCGTTTTGTCGGTTGTGATTTATGGCGTTGACGGCATTTATTTATATTGAAATAAACGCTCTGTTTATTTTGATGGGGTTTTGTTGATGAAGCAATTTGTTTTACATTAAATTTAGTACTAAGGACGTAACGAAGGGACGTAAGGGGTTACGTAGAAAAATGTTTGTAACGCCTGTCGGCTGTCACCTGCCTAAAATTTGAAAAATAAGCAAGTTATTTATTTTGATTATGAGAATTTTTGATTATATTTTACCCCAAAAAAGTATTTTACAAATCATCCCGTTATATTCATTTTATTTATTTTTTTCTTTAAAGAAAATTACAAATATACTTAAATTATATATACAAAAAAATGTATATATTTCAAATGTGTACAAATAATTTAATTAAGAAGTGCACTGTCCTTAAAATCACTTTAAAATTATTCTACATTTAGCGGTTGCTTATTATCTTGTATTTATTTATTATATTACTACTTATATTATATTTATTTATTATATTACAGGCGTAATACTTATTATACGGCTTTACAATTAGCATGCAACAATGTCTGTTGTCAATATATTTTTTTTCGAAAATAGACAAAAGTATACAAAGTATCCAAATAAAAATACTAGAAATATATAAAATAATATAACATAAATGTACTATAATAATACTCACTCGAAGTAATCCCCAAACTACAGCAATTACAACGATAAATGTAGAAATAATCTTATTTTCGAACTTCCTTAATAGTCGCGTTTAACCGTCATTACTGATTCTCAGCATAATTTGATCTCCACCCTCATATTATTTTTATTAGAACGAGGGCTCACATCAGGGTGGTTGTGTTACGCGGTGTAAGCGAGGGGGAGTAAGCCGCAAATAGTATATTAACATGTTTATATTTTCATTTGAAATCTATTTGGATATTTTGGCATTTGGTGTAATTCATATGATATAATGAAAATGTGTTTTTGAGAAATAGTTAATCTATCTATACAGATAAATAAATTTAAAGTGTCTGTTTATAATATCAAAATAAAAGTTTTTTACTAATACATATGAAATTACGTGCGGTTCTTATAAGAAAATACCAAATTTTCGAATGTTTGTCTGTCCGTCTGTCTGTCTTTTTGTTCCGTTTACGGATGGCTAGACCAAATTGATGGGATTTTCACTGGCAGATAGCTGATATTATAAAGAGAAACTTTGTCTACTTTTATGAAGCAAGGGTAAGGCGCTAGTCTATACTAATATTGTAAAGACGAAAGACTTTTTTGTTTGTTTGTACCGAATCGACTCCGAAACTACTGCACCGATTTAGATGAATCCTAGGGGTTGGCTTTCGGGATAAATTCCGGTGAAAATGGGGATGAAAATTTGTGTGGGGAAGCAACTGATGGACGAACTCGAGCGAAGCGAGCGTAAGGCACTAGTCTTTTAATAAAACGAAAGCACTACTCAAGATATAAGACATAAAAAATCTCTTTATGATCGTTGATGATTTCTAATTCTGATGTTTCCACACCTCAAATTATATGTAAGTGACAGGAGGGTCGTCTGAGGGCTGTAATAAGCCTATTGCGGAACTCTCGCTGAGTGACGTCGAGTGAGGGCGGGAGTCGGGAGATACCTACTTTACTGCTTTACTGTGTTTTAGGATGATTAAAGGATTAAATAATATTTGTTCAATCAATTACTAATATCCTCGCTAGTGGGTAATATTTCAGTAAATTAATCGTGGATCAATAATGTGCATGCTCAAGGTACTTACATACCTATATCATTTCTTGACTTTTACGTCTTATAACAGTTTATGCGTCGAGATGGTTTTTTAAATTTTTAGAAGAAGAAAAAGAAAACTCAGAACTTACGAAGATTTACATACACTTTATAATCGCCAATCAATGAGTATGTTACTAACATAAGACTGTGTCTAGTTTTATTGTATTTTATTTTTGCACGCGTAAAGCAACTAGTACCTACCTATAGACAGAACAGTTGAAATTTTCATATTACCTTATTATTTTAAATAAACTATCTTTTCGAATTTTTCCGCTGATTTATTTGTATTTTTGGTTCATGACGTTTCGAATGCTTCACATCAATCATTTTTGACTTAGTTTTGTTATTTTGTGAGTAGGTATGCTATCTGTAACAACTATATGTCTAAAACCTTAGTCTCTCCCGTGAACACGATTGCTGTAAAGTGTAAAGAATTTGAAACGTCGGCAATCAAAAATCAAAATAAATCCGCGAAATAATCCAAAAGGATAGATTTATTTAAAATGTCAAATATTCGCGTAAATCTAAGAAAATACCTTATTAATTGTTTTCCATTTAATGAGAATAATTATTTTATCATCATTGATTTTATTTGCCAATGGTATTTTTTCTATAAAATGAATACTTAAATTGGACTTATGGTTCACAATACACGTGAAGCTAGAGTGAGAAGTTAGCACATAATAATATTTCGTGACAGTATGAATTGTCGTCAGTCGCGCTCTAATGGGCCTTCAGCAATCTGTCGCGCTGATGACCGCTGACGTGGAGTACCTACTGAGGGGTTGCAGTACTTGAGATATACGTCGATTTTATTATTTTGCAAAATCTCTATGAAGTCATATTATTTTGTATTGCCTACTTGTTGTTGTATGTAATAAGGAATATTTTTAAACATTAATAAAAAAATATTTCCTTGTTTGTTTGTTTGTCAGCAATAATCTTTCAAATAAGTGATGACTTTTGATCATTTTATGAAAGAAATCAGCTTAAAATTTCGGCAAATGAATTCTTAACCTAACTTCCTAAAACTATTTTTCTCTACATTCTTACGATTTCGAAATAAAAAAATATTTATTTCAAACATTAGATTGGTATAAAAATACAGTATTTTAGTTATACTTACTTTAAATACAAAATATCGTAATCAATTTCTCACTCATGTTTTAAGGGTTATAAGAGAGTTTCCGGCGGAAGTACGGTTTTATAGATAATTGATAATAATCGATATTAAATTGAATGCACTTCAAAGATTAAATGCTAAAAGGGATATTTTGATTTGAGTGACATGTTGGATTGTATGGAGTTTACTCCACTGATTCAGATTTTTGCTTAATAATTTGTCATCTAAGGCTTTGTCAATTCAATTCCATTTCTTTATAGTCTAAAAAAACTATACTGGCAGACGTTTTTTTTTTATTTTTCATATAAATTGTGTTTAGCTGTCTTTGAATGATACTATGCTATATCTATAATACTAGCATTGCCCGCGATTCCGCTCGCGTTCAAATGACCAAAAACCAAATTGTTAGGTTTTACATATTAGTATACTCTTACATTGCAGTTTTTGTAATTTTTTTTCAGAAATGAGACATTTTCTCCTATATGTTGACCCGGATACCAGCTACTACCCTACAAAATTTCATCAAAATCCCTCTAGTAGTTTTTCTGTGATCCGGTAACAGGCAGACAGACAAAAATTCTAAAAACCATAAATTCGGCCTCTGTATCGATAATAATGTTTATTTCAATAAGATTTTCCAAAAAATATTAAATATACAGATTCGGCTTAGTTACAATTTTATTATATGTATAGATGTATGTATTTAAAGTTATATAGGTATGTGTAATGTATCAACTATCTGATATCCATAACACAGGCCTCATAGCTTACCATGGAACTAGATGGTGCTTTGTATTAACGCATTTATTCATTTATTTCTCATAGATAACTAATAAATTAAGGTCTTATATTTTATTATGGTTATTTATTCCAATAAGAAAAGTTTCCATGAGGTATATTTTTAGTGAAACTAGTTAAAGTTTAATATAAAATTGTCGATATATCTGATAATATATTTCTTAAAATGAGTTATAATTATTTAGATTCTATTTAGATCTTATCAAAAAGATTTAGAATATATGAAAGTAAAATATATGCTTTATGTCCAGCGATAGCAATTAGAGCGAGCTTTTTAAGCTTTAGAATTTGGTACCTACATAATAACGTAATAGAGTTTCTGCATTAATTTAAAATTATAAAACATTTGCACGAGTAGGTACTGAAGTCAAATATTTTTGAAAATCCAAACAACTACTTCCTTAATTAGTAACGACAGTGGAGTTCGAGTTTGAATACGCATTGAAGGGTCCTTTTCCATTTGGAGCCATTCAAAACGCAATCCGAACGAATGTTTGCAAACGATTTCTCCACAAAGGCGCCGCGACAAATCGAAAAGGGTACACCCCTACACCCCTCGCAATTTGCTTAAAACAAGCGAGCTTTGTGTCGTAACCGCCGCAATACGTGTAGAACTAAAAGTATTATTCTTTCCGCAGGCACTTGTCGAGAATGCAGCCGTTTCAATCGACAGCCCGCCCCGAGGGCCCGAGGGAGTCCTCCCCAGAGAGGGCGAAGTCCCCGGATACCCCCACGACACCGGTCCTGAACTTCTCCATCGCACGGCTTATGGAACCAGATAGAAAGAAGTCAGTCAGCCCCGAATTACCGCCACCTCCCGGTTTCCTATCTTACGGCGCCCAACTTCTGGACTCCGCATTCAAACAATACATACCAGCAGCAAGACGACAGCTCGTGTCTCACTACCCGCTGCTGTACTATGGTCCAGACCTAGTATCACTGACCTACGCCCACCAGCTTCACTTACCGAGGCCACCGCCAGTGCAATCTCCAGTTCAAAGACCACCAAGTCCTCGAGCTCCAGCAGCAGACCACGCTGTCTCTTCAACGACCGGCCCTACTCCCTCTCCAGCCAAAAATAAGAGCTTTGCTTGTGGCGACTGCGGCAAAGTATTCAACGCGCACTACAACTTGACGCGACACATGCCCGTCCACACCGGAGCTCGCCCGTTTGTTTGTAAAATTTGTGGCAAAGGTTTTAGACAAGCATCTACGTTATGTCGACACAAAATAATCCACACCTCTGAGAAACCGCATAAATGTCTGACCTGTGGGAAGGCGTTCAATCGTTCCTCAACATTGAATACTCATGCGAGAATCCACGCGGGCTACAAACCCTTCGTGTGCGAATTTTGCGGAAAAGGATTCCATCAGAAGGGGAACTATAAGAACCATAGACTGACGCACAGCGGGGAAAAGGCTTACAAATGCAATATATGCAATAAAGCGTTCCACCAAATTTACAATCTCACCTTCCACATGCACACCCATAATGAAAGGAAGCCATTCACCTGCAGCATCTGCGCTAAAGGATTCTGTAGGAACTTTGATCTTAAAAAACATACAAGAAAGCTTCACATGGGAGCAGGCAGTTCTAATAACGACTCATCTTTAGACACGCAAGACGAGTCGACTCAGGAAGCAACAACTAGTCCAAGCGAGGAGACCAGTCGAGCTGCCTTCAGACCGTTTCTCGGGTCTACATACCCCAGAATCTTGGACCCAGCTAGGATCACAGCTCCCAATACATTCTTCTCAAAACTCTTGTGACCCGAGAATTATTTTAAAAATTATAGCGAAAATAACGAATAAGCGATTTGACGTTGGATTTGATTGAAGTTAGTTAAATAGATATATATTTTAAATGTAAATATACTGATAAACATATATCAGTAGCGAATGTTTATGAAGTTTATATAATATAGTCTAAGAGCTAGCATTGAAAATGTGTATACCGAATAGAATTTTTTTCTCAAACATTATTATTAAAAATATTATTTTATTACGTTTTGTTTTTGAAGTGACATTTCTTTTTATATATTTATGTGTATGATGATTGTGATAGCAAAAATGTATATAGAGTTTTCGTGTAAATATTCTGTATTTTTATTAGCTTTATTGGTAGAAAAAAATCAAGTGTAATAATAACCACTTTTAGTATAATTTACTACCAAACAATGCATGAGATCTACCATCTGTATGAAGAGTTGATTTATAAAGAAACTGTTATTCATTAGTTTTATTTTTTCAATTTGTGTATGCAGTACAGTTTTACATAGGTGCTTTTAATAATTAAACTTTAATGCACACTAAATAAAACAATATTAAGCCACTTCAAACAAAGAGAAAGTACTAAATTTGAGTGGGTACATTCAAATTACTATTTTACGTATGTATGTCTGTATGTTACACGATAGTTATGCCAGTTTTGACCTAATATTATGATTCTTTTTTTCATGCCTATATAAATTTCAAGAAAAATACCACTTCGGTGAAATAAGTACCTACCTACATTTAAAGTGATTGAAGTTGTTGAATTTGTTAAGTTATAATAATTACAATAATATTATTAAAAAATGTAAAAAACAAAAGTGAGATAAATACAATACAACCTTGGCATAACTGTGCCAACTTCTATCGTCTTGGACTATTTTAATATACCATCAAAGTTTTATATTCTTTTGAATTCTACGTAAATTAATGTGTATTTGAATTATCTAAAATCGTTTCGACATTCGTTGGCTCACTATTACAAGGTTCTATGTTAATTTTAATAAAGTTTAGTAATTTTTACATAGAACTTCGTTATTTTGTTATCGTAAAAAAACAACATAGAACTATGTAAAATTAAATATTTTGTAGTTAAAGTGCCGCTATCTAGTGGTTTGTTTTTGCAAAACTGTAGCTAATGACACATAAAATCTTGTAGAATTAATAACTAAATAAGTACTAAAATTTTTACATAGAACCTTGTAAATGTGAGCCAACGATTATGTATAAAAGATATATATGAGCTTTTCCGTATTTACTGAACTTTTATTAAATACTATAAAACTTTTTAATATAATGTAGCCGTGGATTCAAATGTAATCTAATTAATCAGGATCTCATGCATTATAATACAGTACATATAAAGTAGGTAAGGTTTTTCTTCCTCAAGATTACCAAAACATTACAATTCGTAATAGCTCTTTGTAAATGTTTTCAATAGTTTTAATATATGTACTCATATGTTTATCAGTAAGTTGTGAAGACATAGTGTAGGGAATAAAATATTATACATGTACATAATGTTAATAGCGACCGCAATATGAGTGTACCTACGAGTATAATACTGAGATTATAACTATTATGAAAATTTTACTGCAGTTTCATTTAATAGTGTAAATTCAGGAAGACAAACCAATGCATCCACATAATGGCTGATTTTGTCAATTAGGTATAATTGCATAACATTTTAAAATAGAATTTTCGCGCTGACTTCAAAGTATCAAAAAGCTTATTCAGTCTCAATCGATTAGCTTCAATATACTTAAACCACGAAAAATAACAAGTATTTGAAATATTCCGTTATTTTAACCCCCGATCTCTGTCTCAGTGGGAGTTGCACGCCGCGCCGACTTACCGTACTCATTGCTTTGTCAATGAACAGTCAAATTGCAGACTTGACTAGCCCTTGAATAACTCATCTATTCTCAAACTTTTTTATATTTATTCGCTCTAGATATTCTATTTGTATTTAAAATCTAACTTCCTTAACCAAATTGGAATAAAAAAAAATGAATCCTATTCGAGATCCTAGGTCAACGGGAAGTAAGTACCCTGTAGGTTCTGATTTCCTTGCCAGTTCAAAATATGCGGCATAAACGCCCGTATCTTTTGATTGCGTTGACTTAGAAGTTTGATTTTTTCACAGCCTTAAGGCATTGCAGAGAATAGTTTTTGATATTAATTTCAACTTAATACCTCCCCTGCACGCATTCTTGAGAAAAAGGATCTTGACAAGCAGACAAACAGACGGACATCGAAGTGATCCTGTAAGGATTATACTTTTCTTTTTGAGGAAAGGAAGATTGTTTTTAATAATCTTCTCTTTTTTTTCTCTATCTCTTTATTACTTTGAAGGCTACATTTATTTATTATTTACATATTATGTAAAAATACCGCCATCATTTTTTAGTTTTTTTTTTACACGTGCAACAGATGGTGAATTATTCATGAAATAAATGATAAATTCAGAAGTTTCACATTTTAAACGTTACTTATTACGTATAATAAAGAACAGATAAAGTAGGAAGTAGTTTTGCTCATTTTTATTTTTTTCTCAAAGTCTTCTAAAACAGAAAAACGAAGAAGAGATGTGTATAAAAACCATGATTATAAAAAATATAGGTATATAATCTTCCACATAGTATTACTAGCTTTATTTATTTATTTCAAATTATACGGCTTACTAAGTCCAAAAAAGTTACATAAAATTTTGTTCATTTTTTTTCAATTACCCGTAAACTTTAAAAAGCAAGGAATCGTTCCGATATATTAACCCCTGATTACCGTCGCAGTGGGAGTCGCGTCGCGTCGGCTCGCCGCTTGCGAGCTCACCGCTTTTTAACTGAACAGTCAAATTACAGCCTTCACATACGCTTAGGAGTGCCAGACATTCCCAAACATTATAAAGTGTTTATTTTTACTTGCTCTTTTATTGTAATAAAAATAAAATTCTAAATAAATATTTACCTAAAAGTACCTATCAAGAAATCATGTCGCTGAAATTAATTGAAATATAACATGTACAGCAAAAATAGTTTATTTAAAATAATTAAAATGCAATTAAATTCAGTTTCTAAATTTATATTTATAAAATGAAATATTTTTAAAAATATTAGATAATTATTCGTTAAACCAGATTATATGAAATAAAGTTATATTAAAACTTAAAACCTATAAAATACAAATCTCCATTCAATTTTAGCATCTGTACTTAAATTACTTACGTATTACTTACTTTAGACACCATTATCATCATCATCATAATTGACAACATCATCTAAAATTGTCAATGCAATACCACTAAAATAAAGTTGAGAACCACTGCCTTTCAAACCTAAACCGTAATACGAGATTCAGTAATAATAATATAAATAATAGGTCGCTCTCGCACTGTGCTTTTGTCCGCGGCACACGTCTCCGCGAGAGAGTCGGTCTCCGCCTTAATTAAACTACAACAATGCTTTAACGGAGTTTCTGACTTTCAAATGAACAATAGAGTGAAAAAAGCAGATTTGATTGTGACTTCACCTTCCGGTAGAGTTCCAGCAATTGAGGGCATATTGATTACGGTTTTTGCACAATAAATGAGCTTTACAAATGAAATAATATTTATGTTAAGTTATTTGGTAATAAAAATAAATTATAAATAGCTTTACGCACAAAACTGTATTGAAACTTTAGAAAACCTAAAAAAAGGGTTAGCTAGCTAATTTGCAAAAGATTTTTTTGAACTCACTTTAAAATTTTTAAGGAGGTAAATATTTGAGCTTTATGCCCTTCTTTTACAGTCTATAAAATTCTATAAATATATGAGTTCATAATAAATAAATAAGTGCAAGCTGAATTCATTTGTGTTTGCGTTTTTGTAGATAAGTGGACCCCGTAAAAATAAAGTCCAATAAAAACTAAAACCTCTTTATTTGCGTAAGAATTTTAGATTCTAATCAGTAATTTCAGAAATAATTCAAAAGCTATACAAGTAAATTATATACCTACTCATATAAATTGTACTCCTTTTTATAAAATTATTGGAAAAATAAAATAAAATCGCATAAAATTTAAAACCCTGTCAGCACGATTATAGAACTATATAATGCTGTAAGAGGTTTAGTTAAATATTGATTTAACCTCGGAATGGGAAGCAGTCAATTTTTTTGCTTTTGTTATTGGATTTATACCTTGACTCAGTTATTCAAAGTTAAAGAATACGGAAATCTGTTTATTTTAAATCTCTTTTTTCCTTAGCTCAAAATGAGAAGGAGAAATTAATTTTACAACTGCCATATAACATTAATCGCTGAGCAATTTTATTATTTTGCTAGCCACTATTACTAACTGAAAATATCTTGGGACTGACCTTCTTCTTCTTCAACATTATATTCCTGCTAAAACCAGATTGATCTACAGCGTTTATATTAACGAGAGAGTATTTAGAGTATATCGATACTAATCCGTACTAGTATATAATATTATAAATATGAAAGTGTATTTGTTTGTTTGTCCTGCTTTCACGTCAAAGCGGAGTGACGGATTGGCGTGATTTTTTGTGTGGAGATTTGAAGGGCTGGAGAGTGACATAGGCTAGTTTTTACCCTATTATCTTTTTACCCGATTATCTAATTCCCACAAGAAAACACGTTATAATATAATCCAAAAAATATTTATGACCAGAGTTACTTGAAACTTGGTATTAATGCTCTGCAATAAAATTAAATAAATACGTGTTTTAGCATTTTTAGAAATTCGTCGTATAAGGGGGTAAAATTGGGGATGAAAGTTTGTATGAAACTACGTTACTATCAGTTTTAGCGCGAGCGAAGCCGTGGGTGCTGCTAGTACTTTATAAATACGCCATAAGAAACCGAGGATTGAAAAACCTTATTCCCATAATCTTTACCTACTTACTTATAATAAAACTCTAACCGAGTCGAACTCTGTACGTTAAAATTTTTTTGGAAAACCTTATTGATGCAGAGGCTGAATCTATAGTTTTTAGA